GTTAACCCCCAAACTGAGGTCAAAACACTATGAAAGTGTAAAAATAGATTTTAATACCAGAAAAAAAAATATTGCCAGCAATATATTTTTGAAGAAAAAAATATTACCATAAATAGATTTATGAAGAAAAAATATCAGCAGCAACAAAAATTTTGTCGGAATTAAATAACCCGTTGAGGTTGATATACCGTAAAACAAACGAAATGACCAAACCTCGTCATAATTCGTTCATACCAATAATTATTAATTTTAGAAATAGCAAATAACTTGACATCGAACGGAGGTAGGTGAAAGCTTCATTTAAGCGGATATATATAACATGGCATATATTTAAAAAGTGGAGAGGACTTAACTGAATTGGAATTTACAATCGGAATATGAAGCAACGTGAAGGAAAATGAAAGAAAGAAAGGTAGACTTTATAAGAAAATTAATTAAATATGTCACTAATTTACATTATTTAAACTATTTTCCTCATCTTTATTGTCATGTTCACGACGTTTCGGCTGTTTTATCTTCCGGATTTCTTCAGTTACACCGGGGTAGTTTGTTCTAGTTTCTGATGTCTCATTACTTTTTTTTTTTACCAGAGCTCTTATTGCAATTTTGTGGTTGTTATCGCTTTTTTTTTTTAGCACCCGGTATTAATTGTTCCTATATTGTATTCATTTTTATGCTTGGCCGCCTCATGAGATTTTTTGCGGCCTAGCATATGTGCTGATTCCTTAAGTTTTCGTATTTTCCAGTGATTTTCTCTGTCTTATTTTAACCATATAATACGGGCGTCGATCTTCCTTTTACCTCCATAGGTGATCAGCAACGTCTGATAAGTCTATTCCCCGTCATGATACGGCTTTACGATGTTCTTGCAGTTTTACCTGCGGCTTGTTTTTCCTTTATATTTCTTACCATATCTGTACGGTATGACGTACACACAGTCGTTAGTCATGTTCTCCTCATTTGGGAAGGGGGAAATTCGTCCTGATGCTATATGGACCACGGATCTTATGTATTTATTCCGATAATCCCCTGACATAGAGTAGTCAGACCGAAGCTATTTTTTTCGGAGATGCTGCCATGTACCCCAGGTTGTTTCTACGTTGTAGAGTACTGCTTATACTGACCATTTTTTGATCATATGCCGCTGGATCGCCACATGACTTTTGCTCGATGTTGTAAGCAGCAGGCGATCCCTTTCTTTACACTATATGGGTGGTGGGAGTTGAAGTTGAGATATTATCCGGTGAATGTTGGCTTGCGGTATACGGATGTCTCGTTAACATGCGCTGTTCAGGATATTAGTACATTCAGTAAGGCGAATTTGTTTCGTTTTCTCGTTCCACTGTGAACTGTATCGATAATCTTTTTGAGTTCACATGGTCTAGTCGTAGCTGAACTTCTTCCCAGTGTAGCCAGAGTATGAAGGTCTTATCTACGTATCTCATCCATAGGGTTGGCTTTAGTAATGTGGATTCTAATACAATTTCTTCGAAGTATTCCATTTAATCCATTGCTGGTGATAATGGTGAGCCCATTGCTAAGCCTTCATCTTGTCGATATATGTCTGATCCCATTCCGATGTCTGTTGTTTGTGTACAGATAGTATCCCCATCAATAGTATTCCCATCAGGTTATCTATTCGTATACTTGTCGTTCTCCTAGGGATGAGCCTGAGGCCAGATTGTCCCTGATTACCGATTGTGCCTCTTCCGTTGGTGAACAGACTCACTACGTCCAGGTTCACTATCTGTTTAGATTGAAGGGTCTCATCATTGTTTATTTCCAAGTAAAGGGCACTGTTTCGGACATATGAAAATGATTTCACTATTAATGGATCAATTATATCTACAAGAAGCCGAATCGGTGGCAACAGATCCTTGGCAGCTAACAATCGGTCTGAACGGAATACCGTCTTTGTGAATTTGGGGGAGACCGCATATATAAGGTAGATTTGTGTAACGCTACGACAACAGCCTGGATGTCTTAGGTAGGAATTGGCCCTTGTCCTTGATTAGGATTTGTGAGAGTTTTCATTCTGTTTTCAATGTTGAATTTTCTTTATTTTGCTATCGTTACCATTTCTAATTAGGTCTTCCGGCTTTACTGTGTATTCCTATCTGTCCATCTCTATAGTCGCATAGCTTTTTCCAGTTGGTACTATGTTTTCATTCCTCTCTGGTGTCCTGACTGCCAGCCTCTCCAGTTTCGTGATGTTAGATTTTGGCTGCTCGGCTTTCTCAGGTATCTATCTCACTTATCATCTTAGTTCATCCGCCCGAGCCTGAGGGATGTTCAAGGCTATTTTCTCGATTCGGGCAATCATGCCCAAATATGGTATCCGCCTGATGTTTGTGGTGAAGTTGAGACCATTGTTTAGTACTGAATCCTCAGTGCACTCAGCTGGTGTTGTCTGATATTGATTAATATCTTCACTGGGAGGTTATGGACCTTTTGCATCACCTTCTGATAATTCTGTTTGTTTAATTCTTGTAATTGACGGGCCTTGACAGCATTAAATCCATGTCTGAAGAATTTACCCAGATCGTGTATCCTCTTTCGGTCTTTTTCATCGATAATTCTGCTGAAGAATGCCTCGAGCTTATAGAAGATATCAGATTACAGTTTCTGTTTTATCCAACGATTGTACAGAATTCTTTCTCGGACAAGAGCATGCCCTCTGTTTCTGCAACCAAACAGGCTCTCCTTGAAATCTAACAATACGGATTTAGCGTATGAGCCGATAAATGTGCTTTCTTCCGAACATCGATAAAATGTCTCGGATTCATTTTTGACAAAAATGGTTGGAGATATGACCCGGAAAACATACAGGCTATAACTCATATGACAGCACCAACGAATTTTCAAACACCATGTTCCTTTCTGGGACTCATAAGATACTATAGTGCATGTTTACCAGAAATGCACTGGCTACGCGGTTCCTTAAAGAGTCTTTTGATAAAAAGATGCTTGATAGTACTGGTTTTCTGAATGCAAATCAGCATTTAAAAAAAGCATATCTCTTCTGAGTTCGGAACTATTACTCACATATCGCAACCCATCCTTAGCTACTGTTGTTGTTTCAGATGCTTCAGATTATGTCATCAGGCCTGTAATTTCTCATTTACACACACAAGCAGGACAATTACACCCCCAGAGCGAAATTACAGCGAAAGTGAAAAGAAGATTTAGCTATTGTCTTTGCCATGAAAAATTCCACATAATGCTATATGGACGGCACTTTACCCTCATCATAGGTCAAAAGCCTCTTGTTAGTAGTTTTATTTTAGTGTATCCCAATCTACATGGCCAACCGTCTACAACAATGGGTCACGAATCTTTTGGGCTATAATTTCTCCATCAAATATCAGTCCAACAACCACATTGACCAAGCAGATGTAGACTCATATCTTCACATGGCAATCTACCAGAGGATAGAGTTGTTGCTGCTCTATATGCGGAACCAGAAGTTGTCTCAGCACTTATATCCACAGTGAAGACATTACTAGTTATATCAGAAATGATCCGGTCAACTTCAGCCAGTCTTTCAACATAGATCGTCTTTGTCGGAAGTTAAAAGAACCATACGGTCCCAGTAACGGATCTAATAACGTACCAATACAACAACAAAATAGTCCTCAAACAATTTATTACGGACACCAGGAAATAAAGCAAATGCAGGCCAGAGAGCGCATTTATTCCATCTGGCCGAATATGGATATACAGTTCGAGGAAATCGGCCTCAAAATGCCAACAGGTATTAACCCCACCTTGAAAACCATATTATGTTCATGGCCAACCCCAGAATCTCCATGGTCACGATTCATAATGATTTTGCTTAACAAATCAATATACAACACAACATGATCCTGGTTGATGCGTATAGCAAATAGCCAGAAGTGTTTCCAATAGATCACGCTAGATCTGAAGAAACTATAAGAAAGTTACAACAAATGTTTAGAAGATTTGGCATCTCAGGGATCTTAGTTTCCGATAATAGCAGTGCATTTACCTCAACAGAGTTCTCAGATTTCTGTCGAGCGTACGAGTTTCAGCAAACCAGATCCGCACTTTTCCATCCACAATCAAATTTACAAGTTGAACGCTTTGTTGTCACCTTTAAGAGAGTACACTTAAAATTAAAAGGGGATGTAACTACACGAAAAATTATCGAGATATTCCTAAATGCCTACAAAGCAACCCTAACACACTAAATTAGCTAATTTACCTTCAGAAGCCATGATGAATAGCAAAATACATCTTCCAGGTGACGCCATTTCCCAACTCCAAATCGTTCTTACATAAGTAACAGAGTGATGGAAAAACAATTCAACAGCCGTCATGGGGCGATGACAAATTTATTTTTACCATGAGAAATTGTTCTTTCCAAGGATTAATGTCACGGCAAAGAAAAGTGGACGCCAGTCGACATAGTGCGTTGCACTGGAAACGCCATCTATGATGTTGATGTGCTGTCACCAATCTGGGTTGGACTCGCCAATCAGTTACGCCTTTCTCGCCTTCCAATGATCATATCAAATGACACAGTTATTCCACTTAATATTTTATTGGGCATGTTTGAACTCCTTCAAAGTTTTGAGGTGAAACCCAATAAACAGCTAAAAACTCAACGAAAATTTGCAATGAGGAAAGCCAATCGTAAGCGCAAACTAAACACATCTCAACAGTTAGATCCTCGGAAAACATACTACAAGCATAAGACTTCAAGGGGGAGGTGTTAGGATGGACATCATAAAAAAAGGAGCTAACTCTCTCCCTAAATGATACCAAATTATGCCCCTTGATCAGAACTCTCTAGGAAAACAGAAAAAAAGATGATTTCAAAATGGTGATTAAGCATCCTCACATGTCACGTATCGATCTACCGGTATTCACTGGCCATATTTTACATCTGTTGCTATCCAGTACTAAATAAATTTCACAAAGATGAGAACTGTGTGTTTGTTCTTATTTGACACAGATAAGTACACACGTAGCAATACATCAGATCGAGGATTAGATAGATATGAATAGAATGATACAGATAGATAGAGAATGAGATAAATAGATATGAATAGAATGAGATAGATAGATAGATAGATATGAATAGAATGAGATAGATATGAAGAAAATGAGATAGATAGATAAATATGAATAGAATGAAAAAGATAGAAAGAGAATGAGATAAATATATATGTATAGAATGAGATAAATAGATATGAATATAATGCGATAGATAGATAGATAGATAGATAGATAGATAAAAAAAAAAAGTGAAAAAAGTAAAAAAAAAAAATATCAGAATTTTCCTACGTCCTCACAAAATTCGGCAAGTGGAATAATATCTGTTATGAGTTCTATTTTTTTTTCAAAAGAAAAAAGTCTTTAAGAATTCGCCGATGAAATAACATTTCCAATAAAATAGGAGAGCCAACTAATTTCATAACAGACTGTCTAATGAACTGCACAAGACCTGGATTTTCATATTTAACATTACATTTTCATTTCGGTAATTCCTAAATTACTGCCAGTCTGTGTGCTTGTGACCATGTGGAACCATTATGTTTACATTATCATCTTCGATATTTAAGAGAATTCTTTCTACACACACACACACGCACACGCACACACGAACAAATATATATATATATATATATATATATATATATATATATATATATATATATATATATATATTTATTGCTTTGGTAGGTAATATGTCCCAGAAAGGGATATATTTGTTCGAAGTAGCAAAATGGTTGTTGACTACTGTAACCGGGTAGGACAATCTAGCAGGTAACCGTAATGGACTGGTCCTCGTCGTAGTGGTAGGCAGTAGGCGAAGACAATAGGCGTTGTCCTGAGCCTCCACACCAGTCTGCATTTATGGCTGACACCAGCCAATCATATTACTGTGACGAGGAACCCAGCTGTATGCATATTCATTACATCATTAGGTAATATAATTTAATTCATATAAAACCTAAATTAACTTCTTTCTCTGAACTCTGCTAATACGGACCTTCTTGTCATATAAATTATTGTTTATGAATAATTGCCCTTTTGATGGAAAGTGTTTAATATGTATATAGCAGATAATATATTTTTGTATTTAACCGATTCCACCCTAAGCAAAGAAGTAAAGCAGCTAAGATACAAGACGGGTATAACAGTACAATTGTCCCTCTCACAAAATGTTTAATATCTTAGAAATTTTTGTTGGAATTTTTGGGTACATTGGTGTGAGCCAGCCAAAATGAGCCGACTCATTTTATAGTTCACCAATAGAAGTGTTAACCAATCAGAAGGCTCAAAATATTCAATGCGACGTGTATAAAGGCGGCCATGTTTTTCCCGAATATGCACTGCCAATCTTTGATAAACCGGACGAAGCTCCGCCGAAAGGCTGAGTCTCGTTCGGGGAGGTTGACTGTCCCTGAACCCGTTTATACGCGTTCGAATAGGGAATACTACGGATTCGAAGATCCCACGTTAATCGCGGCCTTGTGCCACATGTAACCCTCATGGGGTGTCGCTAAATGTCACTACCAGCATCTGATATCGAAGTCTAAAGAATTACGGAACAGCTGCTGGAGGTATTGGCGATATAGTCAGATTCAGTAAAATATCTGACTCGAGAGTATTAATCTTTAACGTTGTTTCATTGAACAGATTACATATTGCGCTGTATTCTATATTCTTAGACTATGGTGAACATGGTCAACAGTTTTAAATCTTAGAAGACACTAAACAGATTCAGTTACTTTTCTCCAGCTTTTCAGATAAGACAGTTAAAAAAAGAACAATTTAAAATCGTTTTGAGTCAGACCTACTGTCTTCCAAATTGATCAATGGTGGGAAGAAAGAGGTCAGGCCTTCAGTAATGGCACCAAAATTTATACTTTGGCTTCCATTTTCAAAGTACATTCAAGAACCATCAAATGAACGGTGAACTGTCACCGATTTAGTCATGCTTTTTGATTTATCGAGTCCAGTTACCATAGTAGAAAGTTCACTAGAACAATTACCATGAAATATCTATAGAATGGGCATAAGGAAGACACCTTACGGGGATAGGAAAGTGACTAAAGTCACTATGGAGCACTAATCAAAATACGGATTCTTCTTTGGATTTTATCAAAAACCTCTAAATATATAGCAGGAAGACCAGGCCATATGTGGCAGAGATATTATAAGCCTAGAAGAATTTTAGGCTTGGATATATGTAAGATTGATACTGAGTAGGAAAAGTGTCTAGCAAGACACTGAAACAACTTTTCTGGCAACATACATAGAAGTTGCTTCGATATAATATTTCCACTTAGAGACAGATGTGCAATAGGTTGGCTTTGATCTGGCGTCTCGTTTACAGTCACTCTCTCAAGGACGCACCCTCGCCTCCCTCTGTCTTTTCTACAAATACTTTATCGGTAACTACTCCGACGAGTTACTTTTGCTTGTTTCCAAACTGCATGAATTTAAAAGTGCCGCTAAGTCGATATCTCAGTCTCAATCTTTCACTGTTGAAACGGTTAAATGTAGCCGTCTTTTCTACTCCAATAGCGACATGTCTCGCACTTCCCTTACTTGCTTCCTTGATAGCTATAATCTCCAACTATTTAAATGCAATCTCAGTCGACATCTCCAGACGTCTTGATCTATTCCCCGTCCTTCTCTTCATCATTTCCCCTATCAGGCCTCTTTAATCGTGGTCCCATTCTCTGTAACCCCTTACGTGCTCGTGACACTTCCGCCTTGTTTGGGGTGAAAGCTTAAAAAGAAAACTTCATGTTAGTGGTAAATGTTAGCCCGATAAAGCGCAATGATTCCTTCCTCTAGACATTAGCAAAAGCCATGCTGATAGAATGTAGAAAGGATTCTCACATACGATTAATGGGTAGCCATCTTGTTTTGGAGGCGTTAAAAATTAAGAAGTCTTTCTTTGCCCGAGTATGTTAGAGAATTGCTAATTAGTTACATCATTGTATCCGCGGCTTAATGATAAATATATACAACGGCTTACCCGGCTCGATCCTGGGTCTTTCCTACGCTGATCAGTACTGCCGCCGTTCAACTGATGTTTATCTTCTTGTCGCTTCGTTCCTTCAACTGCTTCGCCCCACGTTGTGTTCCTTGATCACAGAGCAGTGAAAATCAAATTTCATCCGGACGAGATCACTGTGGTGAACCGTGTCGAAACCGTGCTACAAAAGGATAAAGAACATTTCCACTGGAAAAATAATAATGACATAATAAAATACCGAAGAAAGTCGCCCGTTTAATTTTCATTTGCCTTATATGGTTCTTCAAAATGAGCTTCCGTTAAAATCGCTCTGGTGACAATTTGTCTTTGTCTTTTAAATTTTGGAGCGATTCAGTCAACAAAGAAATTAGTAGGCCGGAAATTCTCTCGGCAGCCGGTCACGTGGATTCTTCTGGCTTCACCTGGCTTGTGTCGGCTACTGGATTTTGGGTTACCTAAGCACCAGTTTATATGCATTTCACCCGACTCCTAAAGCACCTCAAGATTCATTATCTTTCCAATTATGGAGAATCGATACTGACCGTCAAACAAAGCGGCCCGCGGTCGATCACTTATTTAAAACAATAATTTTTTCGACAACAAAATTTGTGTTTATAAATTCTTTCCTGTCCTTGACGTCAAACAATTTTCTTTGTTGTTGACATTTCAATATGACTGATTAAAAGTATTTGCCCACTTTTCATGTTTACAAACCTTATTTCAGATTGTTTACATTATCGGCTTGCGAGTTATAGCAATCTATTTGTTTTTCAGCCGAAAAGAAGTTACATTCCACATCTCTCAAATGATATTTTCAGATTGTTTACACTATCGGTTTGAGCGAGTCATAACAATTTCATTTGTATTTCAACTGATAAGCAGGAACACTTTACATTCCCAAATCATATTTTTGACCCAACATTCCATTCGTTTCACTTTATCAAAAAGGGGGGGAAAGCAATTCTCTTTTTCTCCCTGTACCGTATTTCAATTCATGCTCTCACATTAACGTTTTAAACACTTGAAATTCTCCATACCCTATACAGCGTTTTCACATGAACCTTTTTAATTCTTTTCATCCTATCAGTGTTACAACAGTGTCTCTTTAACCCTCTCAACTACAACTAGTGACACTTTATGGGCTCACAAATATAGTGCATATAAGACGATCGACTCACAGATCAACACTAGTGCAGCGTTTTACAATCCATGTACTCAGGTGTACTAATGTACCCTGAAAAGTAGCCAGATGGGCTTCAGTTAACAGAAGAGTAATCCTCTATTTAATTTATAAAAATTAAAAACTTTGTCATTGTTTTTTTCAAACTGAATCATAAAATGATTAATCTTCAAGAGTAGGAATCTAGGGTAGTTGGGATCTAGGGTAGCCGGGATCTAGGGTGGTTGGGATCTAGGGTAGTTGGGATCTAGGGTAGTTGGGATCTAGGGTGGTTGGGATCTAGGGTAGTCGGGATCTAGGGTCTAGGGTGGTCTAGGGATCTCTGGGGTAGTTGGGATCTAGGGTAGTTGGGATCTAGGGTAGCCGGGATCTAGGGTGGTTGGGATCTAGGGTAGTTGGGATCTAGGGTGGTTGGGATCTAGGGATCTAGGAGGGGATCTAGGGGTGGGGGATCTAGGGTAGTTGGGATCTGGGATCTAGGGTGGTTGGGATCTAGGGTAGTCGGGATCTAGGGTGGTTGGGATCTAGGGTAGTTGGGATCTAGGGTGGTTGGGATCTAGGGTAGTTGGTATCTAGCCTAGTTGGGATCAGCAAGTCAATGCGAACTGTCCAATACTTAGCTGCATCGTATGCGCTTCCAAAGTGCTACATCTACTTTTGTATTCTTAATTTTCCTTCTCCTGGAACAGTTGCCACCAAAGGCTATAGAACCTCGTCTTTTCTACTATTTAGCTATAGCTGGAGAGAAGTGTTGGATTCTAGACTTCCCTTAGGTTATTAGGACGTGAAGTGAATGCAATGAACTCGACTGAAATTCCAACTCAGCTCTCCGATTCCTCAATCCGGGACAACATCCAATATCTAAGAACGAATAGATAATCATTTCCCTTTTGTTTTTCCTCAAGGGATTTAAGTGAGTCATTATCGGTCCCGACAAAATATCAGATTCGTATTAAATCTCTTTAAATTAAAAGTGTACCGTTTAAATACACAATGAAATATCTTCGAAATAAATGTTTGCTTCAGAAGAGTTTTTTTTTACATGTTTCTTAATTTCATGATTAATTTTTTCTTAAGATTTCAAGTGCGTCCCAGAGTTTTAGTTAATCTACAAGTGCGCGGCCCTGAAGTAAAAACAAAAGTAGATAAACACAGCACGGATTTCATGTTAATCCTTATCTGAAATGGATACGATAGATCTCGATAATTCTGATAAAATAATATTATTTCAAAGCTATAATATTTCTTGTTGTCTTAATGAAAAGATGATAATTTTCTCAGATGCGTATTA